GGGGCTGGAGACTTCAAAGGATTTCTAATAGAAGGTTACTTTAAGCTTAATGCAGTGGGAGCTGACAGACTGGTGCTCTTCTCTTAAGATATTTATGGGAGGATTCTTTGAGCTAGCACAGAATGTAGAAAAGACTGACAGGGTGTACAGCCTCAGTGACTGGTCACACCAGAGGGGTTCTTCTTCCTCAGTTACTTCCAGGATCTCAGGCTGGAGGCCTACTTTCCACAGGAACTGGATGCAAGGTACTACACTCCTTTATCAGGAAGAGAGGCACTTGCTCCAAGTCTGCCATACAGCATATGCCCTTTCAGGCAGGGACACCACCGCCTGGATCTTTGGTTCTCGTCCTGGTCTGGCTGTTTTCCCATGTACTGCTTCTGTTCTGTGACTGCTTTAGGCATTCCTCCTACTACAAACTACTATATGGTTATATAGAAGGATTATGTAAATCAGCACCAAATGTGTCAGTACAGCTCTGACTACAATACCTATATGATTGTATAGAAAGATTATCTAGAGCTAAGTAGGCTAGATATATGTAAGCAGTAAGTTACTCTTCAAGCACTAATTCTATAAACTAATATATGATTATATATGAAGGATTATATAAAGGAAACAGCTGAGCAATAACAGTATAAACGTAGATATTCTTCAGGCACTAATTGTGCCTGGGGTCTGGACAGTTCTCCTTCCTCAGTGCCCATAGTGGGTGTTACCCACAACATGGATATGATGAGGGTCAGCAGACTTGTGGCCACGTGCCCAGGTGCAGGGCTCCAGGAAGGAGCAGCCGAGGCACAAAACCCTAAAAAAACCTTACATGAGTAAAGCACATCACAGTTTCAGAAGGGGTCGAAGACTCGTCATCTTGTGTGGGCTGAAATCTGCTTCACTGAAGTCCAAGACAGCCAGGGGCTGTGTGCCCAGGAGGTGTCAGACCTGGCTCAGACCCCTGCTCACAGGCTTCATACTGGTGGTGGTGAGCTGTTTTTATCCAAGGCATAAAAGCTTTAGCTTTTTTCCTCAATTGCCAAGAAAATCCAGGTGACTTTAGCCCTCCTGGGAAGGTAGGGATCATACACTGCAGAGACCAGCAATCCACAGACGGATTCACCTGCCTGTACCTGTTACCACCTTAGAAAGCAACAGAAAATTTAGTTCCAGACTTCATGCAGTTGGAGACAGAACACCAGGCTGCTCCCAGGCTCTTTGTGGGGTCCAGGCACGGAACAGAGGCATGAGGGGCAGACAGCAAGAGGCAGGTCTGGGGGCTGCCTGTAGACATTTGGTGATCCCCCTGGGATCGGGGGAGGAGTGCTCAGTAGGCAGTAGGGAAGATGGGGCAGGAACCCTTGCCCCAACCATCCTGTGAGCAATACCTCACTGTAATTCTCACAGCCACTAGAGCGGTCTGGAAGGAGGCTGAGGCTCCAAGAGGCCAAGCACAGAGCTGGTCTGTGGGATCACTCGCCTATCCCTGTGCTCCCCTGGCAGCCCAGAGCCCTCTGTGGTCTGGGTTTGGGAATAGCTGACGGATTTTGTGATTGGTGGCAGCTGGTAGTAGGTGGAGGAGGCCTCACTGTGTTCTAGTCCCACCTGCAGAACAAGGGTCTTGACTGGGTGAGAAAGGGAGAAGCAAGCCATTTCTCTGGTGATTCCATGTGATTGTGTGTCGTTCCATGTGTTTCCTCTCCAAGCTACTGATCCTGTCATAATATTAATGGGCCGTGATAGCCGTGTGGAGAGAAGCTCCCCACCTTCCTGCCTGTTGTTCTAGTGCCGTGCCTTCCAGAGAACCCAGCTTTTCTTATATTTAGTCAATATGACCTCAGCAGTTAGACTTTTCAGCCTGGAACATTCCAAACCATGCAACTGCTGGTGAGGCTGGAAGCAGAGGGCTGTAGGTTTCTTCCTCACTTCCATGGAGGAACCCCTTTTTCAAAGCCTGGCTCATTCTCCCCACATGGTCTCTTTGGATGGAGGAGGGGGCAGAGCAGTCAGTGGGCACTCAGGCTTCACTTGGGCTCCCTACTCTCTGGCTTCCAGCTTGTCACATAGGGTGCCTTGGAGCCATGTGGGGCAGCCTGGCCTGGCTGCCCTCCAGCTCACCAAGGGTTAAGGGAGCGTTCGTTTGGGCTTTAGTTATATTGATAGGAAATTAATTGTCAGGTACTCAAACATGAACTCCCCTAGCCTGGAACTGAAGGAGCCATTGTTTTCCTCCCAGTTCAGGTCACCGTGGCATGCTTTCTAAATGAAATCTCTCTTCCCGGAGGTTCCAGTTGGGGCGGGGGTGCTGGAGCAGCAGCTTCTTCCCTGGCGGGGTGTTGGGTTTATCTTGAGGAAGCGGAGGGAGAAGGCTTGGGTTCCCACAGCCAGGCGGATGGGACACAGGAGCCTCTGCCTCGAGGCGCCATGTGGCAGTGAGGCCAGGCTCGTCCATGACCCTGCCAGAGCTGCCTGCATTTCAGGGAGCAGAAGGGGCGGCTGTGGCAGGAAGTGAAGGTTTGTTTTCCTCTAGAAGTGATTGTGACCTCTGGGGGCCAAGGGCTGCCATTGGCCTTGCACAGAGCTCCACACTTAGAAGTTTCCTGGCCCCCTCTCCCTGCAAGGATGCCTCTTTCATCAAGCACTTAGTCCCTTAGACTTGGCTCTTTCTTTAGTACCTTTAATAGACTTTTTCCTCTGCATTTTGAACAAGGGGCCTTGCATTTTCATTTTATAGTGGGCCCTGCAAATTATGGAGCAAGTGAGTCCTGGCCCATTCTTCATTTGTCTTGCATACTTAATTCCTGCCTCTTCTCTGCACCCCAATTCTAGACTTACTTAACACTATGGAAAGGTGTAGGAACATAGCATTAGGAACTCTTATCTAGATGCCTAAAGGAAAGCAGGCCATCCTCCTGTGATACACCTCACTTTGAATGATCCCACAGCCCACTCTGTGGCTTGGGTGAGTGTCTTGGCTTCTCAGAACCTCCCCCTCCTTCCAGACTGCTCTGGTGACTGTGAGAGTTAAAGTGAATACTGCTCACAGGATGCTTGGGGCAAGTGTTCCCGTCCCGTCTTCACTGCCGCCTGCCAAGCACTCCTCCCTGGTCCTAGTTACCTCCCTGATGAGCTGCTTTCTGAGATTCAGATGAGATCAAAGATGTGAAGTTGCATGCGTATGCATGTGTTCAGGGGTCTTCAGTCAGCAGTAACTGTCAAGCACTGTTTGCCACAAGGCACCTTCTTCATTAGGTTATCAGAACCCTTTATGGAGTGGTGACTATTAAATCATGGCCAGAGCAGAGAGCCTTGTGGAGGGCGGGCCAGGCCTCTTGGGAATATAGTAGGGCTTACTCTCAGGATTGTGTCTTCATGGCCAGAAAGTGTGAGGACTGCAGCACTGAGGCAGAGGGCATTCTCACCCGGCCCAGGTGTTTGGGAAGGGCTGATGTCAGCGGACGCCTGGCAGCACACACAACAGCCACTACAGGCTTGCTGCCACCTTCCCCTGCAACTCTTGGCAGGTTTGCATTTCCTTGTTCCTTAATCTGGTGACTTTCCTCACAGTTTATAACAGTGTCTCTGGGTCACATCAGAGAAGCTGGAAGCAGCAGATGGTCAGGTTGATGAGAGGAAATGGCCAATGAAAGTAACTCTCGGGGCTGCCGTCCTTGAAGGCCCATGGTTTGCATAGACACTGGAGCGTCCGGGCACGTGCAGTCAGGGGCCAGACAATGCATTTTGATGATGCAGGTGATGAGAAGTCAGCCTCGTGATCCTCCACATGGTCTGCCGCTTTGTAAGTCCAGCTGTGAGGCTGGACTGATGGTCTCCCTCGCAGGGGCGGCCTGCCCAGCCTGCTCTACTCGGGCCCTTGCTGGTTGGATACATCCCTGCAGCTCTGAGCCTGGGTTCCCACGGCCCCCACCTGCCCTTGTCTCTGAGCCACAGGTCCCCGACTTGGTGTTATGTCCTAACAGTATATAAAGAGGGGTCAAGATTCATAAAGTGCTTTGTAAACTTTGTAAGACTATACAGATATAGTTAATAATATAATAATAGTGTTAATATTATCCTGTGAATCACTCATTCCTGGAAGGAGTGTAAAATGTTCCCCACAAGCTGGATGGTTTGCCTTGAATAATAAAATTTGGGCTACCTCAGTCACCTAGGAAGCTGGCTCTTGGTGCAGTTGAAAATGGCATGAAATAAAGAAATGTGGAACAGGGTGGTTGGGCGATGTTCTTTCTCAGCTTGTGATGTCTACAAAAGTGTGTGAATTAGGAAAATTGAAATGTACAGATTCATCTTCATAAGGATTCTTGCAAATAAGGATAAAGGCTGCATGCCAGCTGAATTGCAGAATATTTTATGTGATAAAATATTTTGGGCCAGGTAAGGTGGATCACACCTGTAATCCCAGCACTTTGGGAGGCTAAGGTGGGAGGATCACTTGAGCCCAGGATTTCAAGGCTGCAGTGAGCTGTGATTGTGCCACTGCACTCCAGCCTAAAGAGAGTGAGATCCTGTCTCTTTAAAAAATAGTAATAAGGCCAGGCATGGTGGCTTACACCTGTAATCCCAGCACTTTGGGAGGCCAAGGCAGGCGAATCACCTGAGGTCGGGAGTTCAAGACCAGCCTGACCATTGTGGAGAAACCCTGTCTCTAGTAAAACATACAATATTAGCCGGGCGTGGTGGCGAAGGCCTCTCTTTGTAAGCAACAGCTAATAAGTTAGCAAGATGCCATGTGTTATACCAGGCCCAGGCATGACTACACAGGGGCAGCCATCTACAGTTGGTGGGTGGGACAGGTGGGGGAGTCATAGGCACCAGGTAGCCCTTGGACCTAGCCCCCCACCTGCTATGGTTTCTCCAGAGGCTGCCCTGCCCTGGGTTTGGTTTTGTTTTGAAGGCCGTGCAGCATCTGAGGCCTCCTGCGTCCTTGGCATCTCCTAAGAGGGTCCCAGTGTGTGTTTGTTACATGTTTTTCTTCTTTTCTTCAGAATATTGACATCACAAACTTCAGCAGCAGCTGGAACGATGGGCTGGCCTTCTGTGCCCTCCTGCATACCTATCTGCCCGCCCACATTCCATATCAAGAACTGAACAGCCAGGATAAGGTAGGCCACAGGGGACTAGCTCCTGGCATCTGCCTCATAGGGTTGGAGGACTGAGAACCAAGGGCAGTGCCTGCCATCAGTAGGTCACATGCGACAGTGCTAGCTTGCGATTGCCTTATGCCAGCTGGGTCTTATTCTGGGATCAGGTCATTTATGCTGAGCCTACCAGTCCCTGACCCAACTTGTGTGTAGTATTTGGTTGGTTCAGAATTCCCCAAGTGATATCATTATCGGTGGGTGCAGCCAGTCTTTCCTGAGTGACTACATTTAGGAGGAAGAGCTTCACCAGGAGGGGGCCAAGAAGCCCCCTGAAAGCAAGAGTAGTCAGGCAGTGCTGACCAGGCCAGGCCAGCCTCCTGCCACCTTGGGGAGGGCTGTCACTTCATGACCCATTCTGCATTGTGGGCCTTAGAACTGCAAGAAACACCAACCCTGTGCACTCCCAGGGCATGGTTTGATAGGTTCCATCCAGAGAGCTCCCTGGGGACAGGGTCAGGGAAGAAGCCCTGCCCAGATGGCCGCTGGAGAGGATATAGGCCCACTACCCCCACCCCAGTCCTTTGCTTCCCCATGTCAACCCCCAGCCCTGCAGACAACCCTTGAAGACCCCTGTTGGGGAAGCTCATTGGATGAGCATTCCTAACTAGCTTTGGGGGATATGTATTCAGGTGCCATGGCGTTGGTGCATCAGAAGTGGTATTCTTCGGGAGTGAGGAAGAAACAGGTGTTGGTGGAAGGGAGGGGGGTGGCCAGGGCCTAATGCAGGGTACTTGGTGCAGACACAGAAGCTCAGGCTCCCAAGCATAGGTTTGTTGTGGCACCAGGTGGAGGTGGGTGTTGTCCTTCAGGTGCATCTTTCCCAGGTAGTTGTGGAGGCCATGTGACCTTTCTCCATGCATTGTTCATGCATTGCAGTGACACAGTTTCTTTTACAGAGAAGGAACTTCATGCTGGCTTTCCAGGCAGCTGAAAGTGTTGGCATCAAATCCACACTGGTGAGCCCTTGTCCCCCTGAGTCACTGGCAGGGCCCTCCTTCTGGTTAGGAAGAGTTCAATTCTCTTTAAGCTGAATCCTCGTGGGCCTGGGGTGGTGTGGCTGCCTGTTAAGAGGTGGCTACGGGGTGCTCTGGGGCCAAGGGAGGATCCCATCAAGGGTGGGTACAGATGTGGGATCATGCCTCCTGGCCCCCAGCACTTTAGCTTACGTGAAGCACCCTGAGGATGCCCCCTGAAAGGGTGGGAGGCCTGAGACTGCGGGCCCAGCCAACCTTACGTGGGGAGGCCCCTCACAGTCATCTCTTTCATAAGGGAATCCTCAGGTCAGGAGGAAAATGCCGCTGTCAAAAACAGCATGCCAGCCGGTCCATTTGCCTTGTCTGTCTAGAGGGAGAGGGCAAGGCAGCTCCCAGACAAGGCAGGCGACTCCAGAGGCTGGATAAGAGGCTCCTGCACTTCCTCGCTGGGGCATGGGGAGAGACGTGTAGAAACCCAGCGTGTTCTCAGGCTCTTCAGGCCTCTCATGCTTCTACCTTGCTTAACCTGACTTTCTGGGAGAAAAAGGGTGTCCAAATCCAAAGCCAGCCTTCTGCACCCACTCGGTTTAAGTAAACTGAGTGCTACAGCATTGCATGAGACATACCATCAGGGGATTTTCAAAAAGGGCGGAGCACCCACTGGCCCAGCCAAGCCCCAAACAGTCCTATATGCGGGGCCCCCTAGGGCCACCTCCCCCATCTCCAGTGCCCCCACCCTAACTGGTAGCCACTGGAGGTGCTTTGAGGAAGTGTTCCAACCATGTTCACTCATTAGCGTGTTCGTGCTGCAGGTACATCTACGTTTCCAGAAATGTGCTTTTTGTAGGGTGGTCTCTGTTCAACTGTACAGGGAAAAAATGTGAAATATTTTCCCATTCCTGGACATTTTACAACACGTGTAAACTTCCAATATTTTTAAAAAGTGGACCTTTTTCCCCACCCTAAAAAGCTTCTATAGTCAAAATTCTTGCATTGAACAGACAGGTTTTCTGTTCTCTGCAGCAAGTCACCAAGGGCGCCCTCCTGATCTTGCGTGCTCAGCCGCACGTCCTTTGTTCCCCACCCACGGGAAAGGGAAGGATCTCTCAGGCCAGCCCCTTGGGACACTCCCTGAGCCTTCAGCAGCGGCAGTGTATCACTTTTTGAGGCCTTCTTTTGCATGTTAAAGGCTGTGAGACACTGGAGTGGGGTAGGGGTGGGTCTACAGTTTCCCAAGTTTATTTTCCTAAACCATCAGTTCACTGGTCACAGGCCACTTGGCTCTCTGCAGAGCACAGTTACAGAGCAGCGTCTTGGATGATTTCAGACTGTTGCCCATGGTGAAAGCCATCAGGGTGTTGGTTCTGGGAGCACTTGACAGGGAAATTCTCCTAGGCCAGTGCTTGGGGCTGAGAAGGGCTCTCTAAAGGGCCCCCTCAACGAATGGTTTAAGAAGAGAGGCAGATGGGGGAGGAGGGAGGAAGATCCCCCGTGCCCCCCATACTGGATGAAACCCTTGCAGTCCTGCAGAGCCATGGCAGGGAGCAGAGAGCCACCTTGCTTGTGGCTCTGGGGCAGGGGTGGGTGGCCTGGGGACGATGCTGATGCCCAGGGAGGAAGTGTTCTTGGCCAGACTTTTGAAACGTGTAATTAGGCCCAGAAAATATTTCAGGGCCCCATCCAACCCCAAGAGCCCATGTTGCTGTGGCAGAGCCCAAGGGACAACCTGGAGGTGACCTGCAATTCTAACTGAGCCTCTTCCTTGTCTGTCAGGACATTAATGAAATGGTGCGGACTGAACGGCCCGATTGGCAGAACGTGATGCTGTATGTGACGGCAATCTACAAGTACTTTGAAACCTGAGCATGCCAGGAGGAGCTGCCCCAACAGCGGGGGGACCCTCCACAGTGACCGAGCGACACCAACGCCATTAGCTACACACCCCTGTAAAGCTTCCAGCAACTCTGGGTTGCCCCGCAGCGTATGAGCTTCCAGCTCGGGGCTTCCGTATTGGCAGAACTCAGCTGTGTGGCCCACAGCTCCCGCTGGGGTCCCTCCCACGTGACCCATCCATTCAGGTCATGTGGGCTCAGCACACATCCCACAGGCCAGTGGCTGCCGAAGTTTTCCTTCTGAAGAGAATATTGAACTACACTAGTGCTCCAGGGCACCAAACAAAGAGGGCTGATGCACAGCTCAACTTGGGAAAGGGGATTCAGTTCTGTGGGAAACTCACTGGGGTGGATGAAGGCTCGGTCGTGGCACTTCCTGACTGTTGGCCAGGGTGGGTTCCATGCTGGTGAGAACCCAGAAGGAAAGTCAGCCAGCACCTGGTGTTTCCCAGCGCCCTGGACCTTTCACCATCCTAGTTTGTAGGAGCTTGTCACCACAGATGTGGGTCAGCTGCCCCACATCTGACAGGGGTGTCCTGGCCGACACAATCCAGGCGTTTTCAGCATGAGCTAGGAGAGCATCTAGAGGGTGCGGTGCAGGCACTCCAGGGCTGGGGGTGCTCCTGCTGCACTCCCGCAGCTGGGCTTTCTGACAGGAGGCAGTTGCAGGGTCCCCTTGCCTGGGCTCTGCCACCTGTCTTCCATCCTGGACAGGGTTTGGAGTCCCAGCTCTGGCTTTAGATTTCTTCATCATAAGGAGTTTTTCCAGTTAAGGTTTTTGTTTTGTTATGAGCAATATTGGAAAAAGTTGCTTCTGTTCTCTTAGTACCAAAGTTACATATATAAGCATAGAAATCTAAACACAAGATCTGTACATTAGCATGGTGAGAGCAAGGAATGAAGCAGGAAATAGAAAAGTAAACAACTTTAGGGAGCCCAGGCACTGTCATTACTGTCATTACAGTCACTGAGTCACTTCATCCTCCTAGGCCTGAGTTGAAGAAAGTGCCTTAACTCTTCTTGTGAGGGCAGCCGCTGCCCTCCATGGCCAAGGCGGGACCTCGTTCAGGGCTCGGTGGTCGAGTTGTCTCCCACCACCTTGCTCGCCCTTCCCCAGGTACTGGGTCCGTGCCCCCCACGCCCGCCTTCCCCAGGTACTGGGTCCGTGCCCCCCACGCCCGCCTTCCCCAGGTACTGGGTCCGTGCCCCCCATGCCCGCCTTCCCCAGGTACTGGGTCCATGCCCCCCACGCCCGCCCTCCCCAGGTACTGGGTCCGTGCCCCCCACGCCCGCCTTCCCCAGGTACTGGGTCCGTGCCCCCCACGCCCGCCTTCCCCAGGTACTGGGTCTGTGCCCCACATGCCCGCCTTCCCCAGGTACTGGGTCCATGCTGTTTGAACCAAAGCCTTATTTAAAGGTGGTCACTGGAGATGCTTTCAGGCTGGGACTCAACAGCTCTTTCTGGGAATAGGGATCTCCTGTGTGGTTTGAACGATCTCCAGACAAGACCTGTAGCTTCGGGAGTACAACCGTGTTTGTCATCTGCAGAGCACCACAAGGAAGACCAGCCACCAGTGGAAGCGGGGTCACTGCCCCACAGACTGGATGCAATACGGGGCTTCCAGGAGGCCCAGCCAGCCCAATTGTGGGCTGAGGGGTGTGCATTCAAGCATGGTGTTCTAGACTAGAAGTTTAACATGTCTGCGTAGCCTAGAAGAGTGTGTGGTTATGAAGAAAGGGGCAGTGTGTGTGTGCAGCTGCCAGTACACCGACATCAGATGGCCAGGAGCTGCCCATCAGCCCTGTCCGCGTCAGCCCGGGGGCTCAAGCTGCTGCCGCTGGCTGAACACCCTTTGGTGAAATGCCTGTTTTCAGCTAAGAAAGGAGAAGCCAGGCAAGCAAAGTCACACCACAGAGTATACCAGAGACCCCCCGCAGACAGCTGGGTCAGTCCCCTGTCTGAGTTGTCCTCTTGTTGCTGACGCTCTGTTGATGGCCAGCTCCGCTGTCAGCGTCAGTGACTGATGTTCATATGAGAATTGTTTTTAATTGTTTCTCCACTTAGGTGTCCTCAGCTCCCTCTTGTGCTCTCATTTGCCTTTACAGAGCCGGTCCACCTGTGCAGATCCAGGTGTCTGGTCATGGTTTTGTTTATTTATTGTGTCCTTGGGGGCTGTTTTGCCCTAAGAATGAGGGGATTTCCCCAGGTCTGCAGTTACCAACTTGATCCCTTGCTGGCCATGTGAGCACAGCCCTGGTGCCTCATGGGATGGGGGGGTGGGGGTTCCCGGGATCTTCTGGAGGAAGGTGGCCATGGATGGATGGGCTATATCTGTGTTTTCCCTCTGGGTGTCTCCTGGGTCCAGCGTCAGGCCTTGGGGTCAGCAACAGGGAAAAAGAGGATGGGCACAGGGAGGGCCTGGCCCTGCCTGTCTGGAGACTCTGCTCGGGCCCCTCCCTGGGGAAGGTTTGCATGCAGATCTGCAGGTAAGGGTGCCTTTTGCCTTGTCTAATAGGATCCTTAGAACACTGGGCTTCAACAGTGACTATAGATGGTCACACATGTTTAAAGTGACATTTGGAGATGCTCTCAGTCCTACAGCACCTTTGCCTCTTCTCCTTCAAGCACAAGCTTTACTGCAAAAGGGCCAGTCGCATTTCTATTTCTCTTAATCCCAGGCTTCTGCTGACGATAATTTTAAATGTTCTAGTAAGTATTCTTGAATGTATTAAAATGGCTGAAACAACCAGCTTGGGCTTTTCTAGCTTGCCCTCCCCTCCCTGCCATCCCTCTGACATTGAATAAACCAGAATCTAGCTGCCTCCTGGAGCTGGCTGTATAGAAAAGGGCACCCCTGAGCCAGCCTGTGGCCCCACCCCAAGGCGCACTTCCTCCCATGGGAAGATCCTGACCGGGAGTCCAGGGTGGCCTCCCCTGGGCCACAGTATATCACCATGTGGCTTGGGGCTGTGGGGTGGTGAGCCTTGTAACCCCTGGGGTTCTGTGACAGATGCCAAGACCCCAGAGACCCTGGCAGAGCTGCCCCCAGGAGAGTGGAAGCCCCTGCAAAGCCCAGACACTGCCTTCCCCAGGGACAAGGGAGTATGCCTGGAGGGGTTTTGTTTTTAGGCATGTATCATCTTGGAAATAATTGTCAGGATGTATAAAATAGAGAAGAAAACAATCATGCTACCCAGAGGCAACCAGATACACCTTTTTTTCTATGCATTGTTCTTTTTTTGGTTTTTGTCGATCATGGTTCACCACAGCTTTGACCTTCGGGACTCAAGCAATCCTCCTGCCTCAGCCTCCCGAGTAGCTGGGATTACAGGCATGTGCCACCACACCTGGCTAATTCTGTATGTATAGTAGGATGGGTTTCTCCATTTTGGTACTGACCTCAGGTTATCCGCTCGCCTCAGCCTCCCAAAGTGCTGGGATTACAGGCACGAGCCACCATGCCATATTTTTTTCTTCATTTTTTGTAGAGATAGGTTTTCACCATGTTGCCCAAACTGGTGTTCAAGCAGTCCTCCTCCCTCGGTCTCCTGAGCCTTGGGATTACAGGTGTGAGCCACTACAGTGATTGTGAATACACTGAGCGTGGCCTGGAGAACACTTACTACCTTGCCCAGGTCACATGCAAAAGGGCCCGTGGCAGTGCTATCCTGTACACAAGGGCCTGTGGTGAGCGCCCTTCCCAGGCGGAGACTCCCCGAGGTTGGGGGCCCAGCAACTGCCTTGCCCCTAAGTAATCCAGGAGCTGAGTTGTGACCTGCAGGTGCTCAGGCTCACTGGGGTTGGCAGCAGGCAACAGCTGTAAAGCCGGGGGCTGGGTGTGGAAGGACAGGCAAGACCGGGCTTGGACTCAGCTCCCCCTTGCTCAGCAGCCACAGTGCTGTGTCCTCTGCCATGTAGAGGGGGTTCTGCCCTAGTGGCTAGCGAGCATCCGGGGAGCCTGCAGGGCGGGTCTGGTGTGCAGCGGCCACGAATTAGCAGGGGTCTGCCCTGCCTACCAGTGCACCTAAACCTCGCCCAGCCAGCACAGGTCCCTTAGCTGCTGCCCCCAGGTGGGGCGGTCACTCCTAGATCTGTTCCTCCCACCTGCAGTTCAGCTGCCTTATGCTGACTAGGGTGGCCCTGAGCCGATCCTTCTGTAGCTGAGTTACTGACCTGCTGGCGGCCTGTGGGCCCCATACGCAATGCAGCTACCCTCAATGCGGATCTGGCTTTGCAGCTCTCCAGGGCAGCACCTCTAGGGAGGGCATCATTTCTACCTTGACAGAAAGTTCCAGAATCTCTGAGGGGAGGCTAAATTGGTGGAAGGGGGAAGCTGTGAGATTCCAGGGAGAGAGGAGAGATCCCAGAAGGGTCCCTCACACCCCTCCAGTACCCTCAAGGGGCTTCGGTCCTGGGCTTAGGTGCCATGCCCTGCCCCAGCAGCCCTGCCTGGCCAGCTCTGTGGCCACAGACCCCCAGGGCTGGCACTTCCTGTAGCCTTGGGGTAGCCTGGCATCTATTTTAGGTTGTCCCCTAGTTGAGGAACTGGGGCAGACAGAACCGGTCTCAACATGCTGGCAGCCACTGCCCTGTATGTCGGATGGGTGAGGACAGACTCTTGGGTTGCTGAGATGCAGGGCTCGATTCCGGCAAGAGCTCTGACCCCAATAGGTCTGGACTTGACTGGGCTTCTACAGGAGGCTGGGCTGGGCACAGGAGAGGACTCCACTTTCCAGGCTTGACTGGCCCCTCAGGCTGGGAGTGCGTCAGGGAGCAGCATGCTGTGAGGCAGTGGGAGGGGTGTGGAGAGACTGGCCATAGCCAGGCCCACAGCAGGTGCTGAAAGCTGGTCTTGGTCTCCACACCCTCATGTGTGTGAGGAGGGGGTGGCAGAGGGTCTGCTGTCTTGGGATCTGAGTTCTGGAAGGCAGATAAGAACTGCCTTATCATCTGCCCAGCAGACACCCACCAGGCAGGAAGCACATGTGCCCCGAGGAGGACAGGCCATCACACAGCCGTGTTGCACGGGAGGCTTCTGCCAGGATGAGCGCTGAGGAGGAGTCGGGACACACGGGTCCTCCCCAGGTCAGCCACCAACACTTGTGATGTGCTGGGCTGTTTCCACCTCTGCAAAGCGGGGGCCCCTCCTGGGCCCTCCTGTCAGGTACCCTCTCTGACCTGGGGTGCAGAGGCCTGACGGGTCACAGGGCTGAGGGCACAGGAAGAGTGGGCTGAGGGCACAGGAAGAGTGGGCAGGTGGCATAGAGCCATTGGGATGATGAGTGGCCAGCCCCAGTGTGAGGCGCTGCAGAGGACTGTGTGCCCACCCTGGGGCCAGGGTTCCACTCCCCTCAGGGCCTGCTTCCCCATCTACACCGATCATTCCCAAGGCCAGGTTGCTACCCAGTTGCTGTTTGTCCTGACACCCAGAAGCAGATACAGGGTGGGGTGAACATCCTGAGTGGGTGAGGGTGAATGGGAGAAGGGGGCTGCCCCTGCACCTGCAATGGTGGCCAGTGACTCAGAGATCACTTTCTCCACATGACTCTTCTGCCTTTGCAGGACCTCTATTAGGATAAACTGGAGCCCTGTGAGGTCCCTGACCCACTGGAGAAGTTGGGGAGCACCCGGGGTGACCCAGTTGGTTTCCAGGGACCCTTCCCAGTGTTCACCGGCTGCTTGTGCTGGGCCTGGCATGTCTTGCTCCTGATGCAGCTCAGCTGGCCCCAGAGCAAACAATGAGGGCCAGAGGCCACCAGGTGCATCCTGGGCAGGAACAAAGGGCCGGAATCCTGGAGCAGGGGAGGCCCAGCTGGCCCCGCCGCCTGGCCTGAGGAGCCTGGGCCTGGATGGAAGGAAGGGTGGGCGTCCACAGTCTTTTCAAAGCCTGCCTGGGGCTGGGCAGGGAAACCAAGACCCAGAGCCAGAAGCTGGGGCCTGCCAGGGGCCTCCCTGTGCCCACCAAGGGGCAGTGATTACACTCGGCTGTGCCCCTCACCCTTGCTGCTCCTTTGGGCCTCGGGTGGGGTGGCGGCCCGGGCACCTGCATAGGGCCCTCCCCCTGCCCCACAGCCTTGATATCTGAGGACAGCACTCAGCTGAAGTGGGCATGGGGCTGGTGAGGGGACAGCAAGGCCAAGACTGAGGAGGTGGCCTTAAGGTGCGTGGTGCCAAGAACATGGGCCCCTCTGTGGAGAAGGCAGGCCGGCCCATGGGGCAGGCAGTTTGGGAACAGCCCTCCCGGGTGCTGTTCCCCACCCCTGAACTAAACAGCCTGGCCGGTGCCCAGTTTCTGGGCAGTGGCATCGCTGGAGACCTGGGCCAAGGCACCTGACAGATGACACAGGTCCGCGGGGCTCTCTGCTTCTGAAGGGGCAGGGGGGAGCCAGTAGGGGAAGGGTGGGGTCCTGGCATGAGCCTGCCCCTCACAGCCTCCTTGGCGCTGGCTCCTGGGGTAGCCCTGGGGACTGTGGAGCTGGTTCTGGGGCTGGAACCACTCCAGGCCCTGCCTGACCACCCCTGGCCTCAGGACACGGCTCTACCAGCGCCAGTGCTGAGGCATGGAACCGCCCCTTGAGCCCTAAAGATGAATGTTAGGGGCTTTGGCACTGTGACCCTGAGGACCAGCTTTGGAACAAAGCCATTCGCTCCCTGCATGGGACAGGGAACGTTGCGGCTGCACCCTTCCTGCTGTGGGACTGGCATGCCCATGGCCAGACCATGCATGGAATCGACCACGCAGGAAGGGTGCAGGCCCCAGGATGGGAATGGGAGAGGAGTCTTCAGGGTCCAGACTGGGAGACAAAAGAGACCCCAGAATCAGCTGAGGGCTGGTTTCTGCCTCATGAACCTCCGGGGGCCCCTCAGGAAGACTCAGAATGCTCCGTGCATGTTTGCTGGGTGAGGGTTTGAATGAATCAGCGTCCAGCAGGTGTGGGCGGGAGGGGTTTGTCCCTACTACGGGAGAGGTTTTACCTCATGGGGATCCCCAGAAGCAAGGATGGGAGTCAAGGATGGGGGCAGGGGTGGGCCCCGTGGCCGGCATCATCCCTCACCTCTACCTTATGGTCTGGCTTAACCTCCATGGGGCAGGGGGAGCAGGGCAGACACAAGACATTCATTTTACCAGTGAGGATATGGGTCCTGGAAGGTCTAGGAAAGCCCCAGCCTCTGGTCCCAGGGCAGTGTCCCCACCCAGAGTGGGGGCTTCTCCAGTAGGAAAGCCAGGGCCATGGGAGAATGAGGGCAGGCCAGCTCCTTTGAATAGAGGGTCAGCAAAGGCCAGGATGAGAGAGAGGGGGGCGCCAGGGCCAGGTCTCCTTGGAAAGACCTGGGGATAGCACCCCGAGAGTCTCATGTGGGCCTCACCCAATTCAAGTTTAATTCAAGCTGTGTGGGTCCTCAAACATTCCAGGCTTTTCTCCACCTTGCAAGGGCCCCACTGGACATTAGGGAACGACAGAACCAGGAGAGCTGGACTAGCTGAATGAGAAAGGGGCTCAGGCTTTGAACCAGGTATAAGCCAGGGAGGCTGCCCGATGAGCAAGGCTGTGTCTGGGCAGGCAATGGTCACTGCCATGGGCCCCATGCTCCTCCCAGCACACTGGCCAGGTACCTGTGCAACCACTGTCCACCCACCCTTTCCTCCCTGCGGTGAGTGAAAGAGGTCATGCCCCCATTCTGGCCTCAGCCTTAGGGGCCAGCCTGGCCCTGGGCAAGCCCCTCCACCCTGGGCCTCTAGCCACTACCCCACCAGTCCCCAGAGGTTCTAGAATTGCAAGAGTTCCCAAAAGCCTTTGGCCACCAACACCCCGGAGCTGTCTGACGTAGGCGGTCTTATCGTGAACAAAATTGGGATTAGTCCACATCCATCCAGAGGCGAGGGTAGAAGGCGGGTCCCCTTGCATAGTCTGGAGGGCTGGACTTGAGGTTGTTCCCAATTGGAAGCCTCCAGAAAACAGGCGAGTCGGGGGTGGAGGTGAGAGGGGGTGGGGGTGGGAATTCCCAGCCTCAGGCTCTAAAATTCCCAGTCTATGGTGCATACAGGACTCCCTGTCTCCTTGTTCAGGGAAGTGGGGGAGGATCAGGGCCACACGGGGCACCAGGAGCTGGAACAAGAGGGTCTCTGGGCCCAGAGTCTGGGATGGGGAGAGGCAAAGGGGACATTGGAAATTGGGGACATGTATCTGAACTGAGATATACCAGCCCCTGTCCGGGCTCAGGAAGGGCAGGGCTAATGGTGGGGAGCTGAACAAGGGCCAGGCAGGGCCTTGAGTGCTGTGTTCAGGAGGCTGGCCTTTATCCCTCAGGACCTGGGGAGCCATGGAAACATCTGAAGGGGAGCGGGTGGGCACAGCTGGACACTGGAGGAGTGACACGGGGGCACAGATCTAGCCCAGATCTGATAAGGAACAGCAGAGTTCCACAGGACTGGGGCAGCAGAGGTGGCAGTGGGGACTTCTTAGAAAAGAGGGAGGCTGGAGGCGGTGGCTCAAGCCTGTATTCCCAGAACTTTGGGAAGCCGGGGCGGATGGATCACCTGAGGTCAGGAGTTTGAGACCAGCTCGACCAACATGGTGAAACCCTGTTTCTACTAAAAATACAAAAATTAGCCGGGTGTGATGGCACGTGCCTGTAATCCCAGCTACTCAGAAGGCTGAGGCAGGAGAATCGCTTGAACCCGGGAAGCAGAGGTTGCTGTGAGCCCAGATCGTGCCACTGCTCTCCAGCCTGAGCGACAGAGCAAGAGTCCGTCTAAAAAAAAAAAAAAAAAGAAGAAGAAAGAAAAGTGGGAGTGCGGGGATGGGGCCCAGAGCGCTCCGAGGGGCGGGGAAGGGGACTCCCAGGCCTCAAGTCTCTTGGAAGGGAGGGGGTGTGGCGCGGAGGAGGCGGCGGGACCGATGCGAGGCCGGGAAGAGCGCGCTGGGGGGCTGAGGGCGGGGGATGCGGCGCGGTCCAGGCCCGTGGCGGCCTCGTCCTGTCAGGAACACCTGCGGGCCTCGCGCTCCGACGCCTCCGGTCCCGCGCCGGCCTCGGTTTCCCCGTGCAGCGGGGCGGGGCGGGGGCAGCGCGGGTCTCAAAGCTGCCTGCAGGGGGCGCCCGTGAGCGGCGCGGCCGGAGCCGGAGCCCGAGCGGCCGCCGAGACAGCGGGAGCAGGCGCGCGAGCCGCAGGTCAGCCGGGGTGCCGGGTCTGGGGTGCGGGGTCGCGGGTGCCGGGGTGCGGGGTCCCGGCTGCCGGGGGCCCGGGGCTGGCGGCCGGGCGGCGTCGGGCCGTCGGGGGTGCGCGGCCAGGAGGGCTGGGAGGCCGGGGTTCCCTCCCCTCAGGGTTCCTTTCCCGCCGCCCCGAGACCAGTTCCCCGGCGCGGGTCCGAGTCCTGCCCCGCGGCGGCGCCGGCACGGCCTGGGCAGGGCCAGGCACACTCACGTCCCGGGCGCAGTCCCGCGCCGCGTGCGGACCCTCCGAGCCGCCCCAAACGGCACCGGAAGGCGCGCGGGGTAGGCGGGGAGCGAAGGCAAGTGCGGCGGCGGCGCGGGGTGCGGAGCCGCAGGTGGCGGGCGGGGAGCGTCCGTCCGTCCGTCCGTCCAGGCGCCACGGACCGGCCCCGCGCGCTCGCGTGACCCTTCCGGGAGCTCCTCCAGCGGGGATGGGCTGGGGGCGCAGCGGCGCGGGCCGGACCCCGGGGCGAAGGAGGATCCCCAGGTGGAGGGGCCGGGCCGAGGCCGGTTCCCCCGGGAAGGTGCGGCGCGGGCAGAGGCACCCGAGCGCCCGGGCGAGCCGAGGAAGGGGCAGTCTGGAACGCCAGGCCGAGCGCGGGCGCGTCCGGTGGACAGTGGTGGCGGGAACTGGGTGTGGGGGACACAGACGAGGACGGGGGACGGGCGGGGGTGGGTGCGTGCCTCGGACTGGCCCTGGCCGTCTGCATGGCTGCCCCGAGCGGAGGTAGGAATGGCGGGAATGGTGGCGGCTCTCGAGGGATTTGGCGCAAGGCGGCCCGAGGGCTCGAGGAGGCGACCGTGGGCCGGCAGAGCTGAGATCCCTGTGTTTAGTTGCCCCGACTGTACTGTGGGAGAAAGAGGGAGACCCAGGGCTGGGTCCTGGTCTTGGGGAGTCGGGGCCGGCAGAGAGGAGCAGGTGTTCGCGGCCCTCAGGGAGGGTGGGCCACAGCTCGAGCCAGCTCTCCGTCCCAATCCTGAGGCAGCACCTCCTCTCCTGGGCTCTGCCCCGCACAGGGCCCTCTCCCCTCCTGCGGGGCGCTCAGGCCGCCTCCACTCCACTCCGGCTCCCCCAGACTCCCCGGCGGGGCACCCTGCCAATACTCCATGCCTGCATCAGGGTTACCCCAGGGTGCCCCGGCCCCGGGGACCATGGCGGAGAGCTCTGTGGAGCACCGCGGGCCAGGGAGGCTGTTGCAGGGTGGGGGCCCTGCTTTGGCCGCTCCCGGAGGCCTTGGGTGGGGCTGGGAAGGCTGGGCCCTGTGGGCAGCCCCCACTCCGACCCGGCAGATCCGCGCCAGTCCACAGCCACGGTGTCCGTCCCTCCTTGTCCTGCCCTTGCTTTTTGGGGTCTCCCAGGCTCCCCACAGTCCAAGTGTTTCTCAGGCAAAAACCAGCGGCTGCTTCCCCATCCGTGTCCCCTGTCTCCTCGGGGCTGACCGGGCTCTGGGCTGAGCTGGCTGCGCTTTGAGCTTCCCTCCTCCTCGAGGAGGAGGCTGGGGGCACCCGGACACCTCTGGCGGGAGGCGGGCGTTGGGCCAGACTGACCTGGCTGCTCTTGGGGCTGTGAAGTGCAGATCCCCAAATACAGCCGGGGTTCCTACCTCCAGGAGCCTGCGGTGGACCAGGACAATGGCAATGACTGCCTTGTGGGCAACCCGATGGGCTGGAGATTTCTTTCAGTGCCCTCATCTGGGTTCTGGTCTTGCATCCCCGACTCACTCCCTAGACAGGTCGCAGCCAACCACCCCCCTGCCCCGAATCTGATGTCGCATCTGTAGAACAAGGATGATCTTAGCAATGCTTAATGTGGAAAGGCTTTGACTTGGAGGCGAGCGGGGGAAGGTTTAGGGCAGACTAGAGGGCCGGTTAGGGGTGTGTGCTGGAGCTGGGGAACCGGGGAGGGAGTGTGTGAGCCTTGAGGGTCAGGGGACACCACAGGGATTGCTGTGGCAGAGGGACATGTGAACCGTGGTTGGCTTGGGAGCAAGTGTGTGGCTCAAGGGCAACAGCCCGGCCAGGTCCAGGTGGGGGCCTGGGCAGCGCCTGCCATGTGGGACCGGCCCCTGGTGGTGCTCAGCTGTGTCTTGACACCCCGAAGAAGGTCTTGGTACCTTCTCACCAACCTAATTCCTGAGCTACCTAACCCCAAATGAGCTAGAATTGCTATCTCAACCGTTTTTTGCAGGTTCTGTCTTGTCTGGTGCAGTGCAAACTGGGCCCTGAGCATGCAGGAGAGCAGAGGAAGGACAGGCAGACAGATGGATAGATGAAGGCGGGAAGCACAGGCTGAGGGGATTTGGGGCATGTGTGGTGGGGAGGCTGCGGAGAGGAGACCGCACAGGCAGGAGCTGAGCTGGTGAAAGGGAGGGTTCTAGCCCCCAGGGGAAGGGTCTGCGACACTGACAGGAGGGGCTTGGCCCGAGGGCCTTGGTCCGAGGAGGTGGGTGGTCTGGAGGTTGCAGGGAGCAGAGGGTCTGAGATGGGGAAGGAAATGGAGCTGGGTGGGGTGCAGAGAGGAGCCCCACGACTGCCCACCTCCTGCACAGGGCCTGGGGCTCCGGGTGGTGGGAAGGGGCAGTTCCACGGCAGAGACGGAGGCCAGCCCCTGCAGCCTGGACACCGTGGATCCCGCCAGGGGCTGGGGAGGATCAGGTGGAGGGAGAAGCAGGAGAGCAGCTGCCCCTTGGCCCAGCACAGGGGGCGATGGGAGTCCTGGGAAAGCAGGACCCTGGCCTCGAGCCTCTGCGGCATTTTCTCTGCTAGAATCTCGTCACCTCTCTCTTCACCTCCTTCTCCAAATCCCACCCAGATGCCCCTTCTCTGAATCGCCATGGGGATTCTCTCAGGCCCCACCCCTCCTGCAGAGCAGGCCTGTTCTAGGAGTCACCGGGCAGGGGTGGCTGCTGCCCTTCTGTGCCCCACCCCTCGGAAGAGCTGCTGCAACCCTGGTCTTTGTCATCGGCCGTCACCTGGCGGAGAGGCTGCCAAGCAGAGGGAGGCTAGTAGTGTCACTTGACGCCTCCTCTGGCGTCTGGGCAGGAGACTTCTCCCCAGAGGCCCCAGGCTGATATCTGTCTGCCCCTGTGTCACAGGAGGACTCACCTCTGGCCCCTCAGTAGGCTCTGCAAACACTGAGCCAGTCTTGGGGAGGCTGTGCAGTGGGGAAGAAGCAGTAGCCAGGCTCTGCTAGGTCACCCTGCCCTCCCGTCAGCCTTGGGGCTGCCTTGTCACACCTGCCCAAGGACCCACCAGCCGGTCCTCACCCCTTCCACCCTCAGTGTAGTCACTCCGGGGCTTCCTGAGGACCTGCACCCAGCACCACCCCTTCAAGCCTCCCGAACCATCCCGCCCAGGCCTACTAGGCGATGTGTCCTCAGGGCCATGTAGAAACACTCCCTTGTCCCCACTTCAGCAGCATAGTACCTGTCGCACGCCATCTGAGGGAGGTACAGGTGCTGATCCTTCACGTGACCTGATGCCTCACTGCAGCCTGCGTACACGTGAGCAGCCTCATGCAGAGGGGAAGCTCTGCCCGGGTCTTGGGGACTGTGACATGGAGCAGGAGCCGCCCCCAGCCAGGCTGTTTTCAGCACAGCGTGGGCCCACAGCACCTTCATGTGAGGTGCGGCCCCTCGGAGGAGGGCTGTCAGGTGAAACATCCTGTGAGGGGGTGAGTGGCCTCCAGGTGGGGAGGGGTGGGGCTGTGATCTCCCTGGCCCCTGGCCTGGACACATGGGGGTGTGGGGAGCAGGAGCTGCAGCCCCCAGTGCTGGCCCTGGGGCATAATGTGAGGGCTGCTCTCTGAGGAGGGCTCAGGGCCTTAGCCTCCAGCTGCAGGGAGCTCTGTCTCGGCCCCATCTTGCCCACATCCTGCCACCAAGAGCAGAGAGCTGTGGCCGCACCACGGCTGTGGGGGAGGGGTGCCAGGCATCTCTCTGGGTCCTGGGCCCAGCCTGCACCCAGCACCTGAAGTGGGGGCCACTGGGCAGCCCTGGAGGGCAGGAGGGAAGCGGAGCCCACGCTGAGTGGACTCGGGGTGGCTACTTGCCGCTGGGCAGTGAGGAAGGCACCTGCGCTGAGGAGTTTGGGAGGGGTTCAGGGATCCTGGGGCCCTGGGTTTGGGCCACCCCAAAAGCCAGTCATAGCGGGGGCCCTCGACCTGCTGTGCCCCTGCTGAGCCCCCACAAGCCACTTGCTGATGCTTCTCAGTCCGCCCCATGCCTCTCAACTGTTTCCTCCTAGGCTCGGTCTCTTGGTGGCCTTCCTGTGAGAATTCCTCAGTGCCAGCCTCCTGTGTGTGCCTGAGGCCCATCACATCCCATTTCCATCCCTCTACTTTTCAGTCCCTGGATGTGATATGATTTCTTGCTCATATCCACTTGTCCTTGCTCATTTCTGCCAATTGGTTCAGAAGTTCTCATTCTTGTCTGCGGATGCCATTCCTTTCTTTGCCTCTTTGGAGATCCTAAAGGTCTCTGAAATCATTATTAGATTACTGTCTTACCTGCCTTTCTTCTGCAATGAATTCATCTCCGTATTTTTCATTCTGTCGATTACCTTGCTTAGCCTTCACTTACCTCCTGTGCTTTGAAATTGATTTGTAACTCAGGTGAGCCAAGGTTGTGGAGACAGGGAGTGACCTGCGGTGCCTGAAGCCACAGGGCAGCAGCCACCTCCCAGGAATGTCCTGGATCCTTTCCTCCTTGGAGGTCCCCTGCCTTAGGCTCAGGGCCCAGATGGGGCCAGGCAAGCAGCAGGCAGCACATCTCCCTGTGGCCCAGCAGTTGGGGTGCTGCCAGCCCTGGTAGAGGTACTTGGTAAACAATTGTTATGGGAAGGTAGCAGGCGGGTTCTTAGGCTGGGGCTCTGGAGCCCAGGAATAGGCCGGCATGGCTGGAGCGGGTCCGAGTTCCTGCACTGTGTCCTGTTCGTTGCCCTTAGCCGCACTCAGGAGCAGGTGTGCAGGGCACTGCCTAGAAGCTGGTGGGCACCACCGTGCAGCAGGCTCTGGGGGGTATAGCCACCATCTGGGCATGTGTACAGAGGGCCTTGATAGTGTGACATACGAGGAACCAGAAGAAATGGGCTAGGAGATGTGTGGGTTTTGATTAAATGGAGTTTTAATTAAAGTGTCCGGGTTGGGGGAGGTGAGGAAGGGAAGCAGCAGCAGCTTTGAGTCTGACGGTATGGAATCCTATGGGGTTGTTCTTTCCAAAGGCATTATGCACGTTCCGCAACGAGTCCCCTGTTTATATGGGACAGCGTCTGCCCTCTGCCCTGTCCCCAACGAGGGGCCGTCACAGAGCATTACATTATTAATATTTAATTTCCCCTCCTGGTTAGCAACAGATGACTCAAGGATTAATTAGATGCACAGGGCCAACAGAGAGGGACAGGAAATTGCCAGATCCTGGCCCCTCCCCAGGGCCTCTGACCTTCCTGTCACTCTGGGAGGCGTCTGAGGGAGGCGAGTGGAGGCCCAGGAGCCCTCCTGCTGCTGTGTTCTCTGTGGGCACGACTCCAGCCCTACGTCACCCTCCAGTGCTCTTGGTGAGGCCGGGAGAGATCACCTCATGCCTTTGGGCCTCAGCTTCCTCATCTGTTAAATGGGCTTTGTGGGACCAGCAAGATCACAGATGACAGTCGTTTCCCAAGCTCCTAATCAGGCTGCACAAGCTGTGTTTGAGGGTCCAGTGCAGTGCTGGCCTCTAGGCAGGTGGCCCCTGGGACAGCGTATGGTTTGACAGCTCAGCAGTAGCTGGCACCATGGCCAGCTGACTGTGTTGTTCCCCAGTTCTGGTCCATGATACATTAGTAGCCTGAAACTGGGCACAGGGGGAGAATTTACACTGCAGAAATCAGCCAAAGCCTGTAAGTCAGGGCAACCCCTGGCCTGGGGCCAATTTGCCAACCTGTGACTGGGTAGCTCCCAGCCTTCCCCCGAGGAATGCACTTCTCCCCTGCCTGCCCCGAGGGTGCCTCTGGCTCCACCGATCTGCTTTGCTCAGGGCGGAGAAAGGCACAGCCAAGAGTGGATTCTGGCTTGGCAGGGGCCCAGGTTGCCTGTGGGTCCGGGCAGGCCTCACCCAGGATGTGCTGGCAGCAGCTGGGAGAGCCTGCAGGAGCATGGTCCTGAGCTGCATCAGCCTTGTAGCCTGGGCTGGTCAGACTGGCAGAAGGCTGTGCTGTCCTTCAATGCAGATGCCCTAGAGAGGGCAGTGGTGGGAGGCGGGATGCCTGGGTAGAGGCGGCTCTTCAGTGGTTCACTGGGCCTCACTGGACAGTGGCCTGTCGCTGCTGCTGGTGGTGCTAAGCCTGGGAGGCCACCTTGGGGCCAAAGGCCAGGCACCGGGGTGGGAGGCAGCCCAGGTCCAGCACCAGTTTCACTTGTACCTGCTGGGCAGGGGCCTGTCGTGAGTCAGGGGGGCCTGAAGGCTGCTCGGGGAGAGGCCAGGAGCATCAGGGGTAACTGTGTTCCTTGAGTGTGGCCAAGGATGGTGCCAGGAGACTTGGTCTGGCATGTCCCTGCCAGCAACACGCTTTGTGAGTGGCTGCCTGGCAAGTGCACCATGCAAAGCAGGGGCTCAGCAGGACTCAGCCCTCTCTAGCTGCTGCAGACCTCTGCTTCTGTAGGGTCTCTGGCTCTGCACTCTCCTCCCTCCTCCCATTTCTGTGTCAGAGGCTCCATTTTGAGCCACCTAGTTGGGGCAAAAGGGCCCGTTGGGTGCAGGAGAACCTCCAGGCCCAGGTCTGACTACAGCCTCTGCTGATCTTGTTCCAGCCCCAAGTTGCAGATGGTATTGGAGTTATAGGGACAGTTGGGGTCCATCTGCTTGAGCTCCGTCATATGGACAGTGGGGTAAAGGGGAGCCTGGCCCTTTGAACAGGCCTCGGGACCAGGAGTGACCTTCTTTCCAAGTTGCCAGGCCTGCTCCATCCCTCATGTCCTGGAGGAGAGAGAGTTGAGGTGGCTGGTGAGTCCACATGAAAGACAGGCAGGTGGTGGCTGCTGGCTACACACCCATAGGGCCCCATGAGGGTTCAGGACTGGAGGGGGTAGATCTGGGGGCCTCTTAGCTCCAAAGAGAGATCGTTTAATGGGCAGAGGTCTGCTTGGACCCAGACCATTCACAGGCTGGGGGGGTACACTGGGAGTTGGGGCTGGGCTCAGGCCTGCTAGGGAACCAAGACTTCTCCGGGAACCATTTAAAATCTGTTTATTTCCTTCTCATAGAATCATGGGTGAGGGCCAGGTGAGGTGGCTCATGCCTGTAATCCCAGCACTTTGGGAGGCCAAGGTGGGCGGATTACCTGAGGTCAGGAGTTTGAGACCAGCCTGGCCAACATATTGAAACCCCGTCTCTACTAAAAATGCTGAAAATTAGCCAGGCGTAGTGGTGGGCACCTGTAATCCCAGCTACTCAGGAGGCTAAGACAGGAGAATCACTTGAACCCGGAAGGCGGAGGTTGCAGCGAGCTGAGATCGTGCCACTGCCCTCCAGCCTGGGCAACGAGAGCAAAACTCCATCTAAGAAAAAAAAAAGGAATCATGGGTGAGAGCTGGCATGGCCCCTAGAGGTCATTTGGGGTCCAGCCGCCTCACCGTATCAATGAGGAAACTGAGGCCCAGAAATGAAAAGCATTCTTGCCCAGACTCCCCCACTGAGTCCTGGCTCAGTACCCGCTTTCTGCCAGGGACCAAATTCGTCAGTCATTCCTGGTGTCAGACAGGCTGAGGAGCAGGTGGGGGAGAGGGTGTGGGAGGAGGGAGGTGAGGCGGCTTCCTCCGAGGGGAAGCTCATAGTCAGCTGCTGTAGTGCCGCCCCTGCCCTGACTACAGCTGGCTGGCAGGGGCACCTGGAGGCAGCAGGTTGGGGCACAGTGTGAGAGGGCTTACCCTCCGCGGCAGTGGGAGACAGGACCAGGCGGCTCCCCACATCCTTCCACATCCGAGCTCCAGGGATCTCTGGCCTGTCCTTTCACAGGGCGGCTGGTGGCCCTTAGGTGGGTGCTGGTAGTTCCTGGGACAGCTGGTGGGATGGAGTGGGCCAGGGGCTGAGAAGCTGGCCTGGTGAGAGACGGTGGGTGGGATGGGGAAAGCCTGGGCAGGGAGGGGCCGTTCTGGAAAGGAGGGTCATGGGGCTGGCTGGGATCCAGGACCCAGGAAAAAAACAGACTGCGGCTGATCCTCAGCCCCAAACCCAGAGGGGGAGGCACCGTGATCCCAATACCCAAAGCAGGGAATGCAGGGAGCCATGGATGGTACTGGGGTGAGCTGGAGTCCTGGCAGGGGCCCGACCATGGTGCTGTCTGTCATTCTGCAGAGCCTGGGAGAAGGGGCTGCCTCCTTGGGAGGGGTTTGTGTGAGGGTTGTAGCGGGAACCCTACTGAACCAGGGAAAGCAGCCTAACTCAGTGACTTCTCTGGGGGTCCTCCTCTAAAGTGAGGGTCAAAATCCTACCTCTCCCGCCTCCTGGCTATGACCACGGCAGACCAGGCACAGGCCAGGTGTCAGCCTGAGGATGGCCCCCGACCATCCTCAGGTGTCAGCCATCCTGGGGGCCATCCTCAGGCTCGCACCTGGCTTGTGGGTGGGGTGGGATCTGAAGCTCTAGGGTCTTCAGGGGCCAGGGTGGATGTGGGGTGAGGGGTGGTACTTTCCACAGGGCCTCCCCTGTGCAGGTAGTTCAGCTATTCACTGCTGTCCCTTTGAAGGTGCCTCAGGAATCCCGAAGCTGGGCTGAGCCATGCTGCTGCTGCCAGAGGCCCTGGAGAGGACCTGGTTTTGGGAGACTCAGAGTCCTCTGTGAAAAAACCCTTGGAGAGCACCCCAGCAAAGCTGCACTTGGCTCCTGTGAGGAAGGGGCTCAGAGGCCTGGGCCCCTCTGCCTGGGCCGGGCTGGAGCTATGGACCGTGAGCTGGCCCAGCCCACGTCCGTGCTGAGCCTCCCTGTCTGTGACCGTGCCCATCATGGGCTCCTGGGTGTACATCACGGTGGAGCTGGCCATTGCCGTGCTGGCCATCCTGGGCAACGTCCTGGTGTGCTGGGCCGTGTGGCTCAACAGCAACCTGCAGAACGTCACCAACTACTTCGTGGTGTCGCTGGCAGCGGCCGACATCGCGGTGGGTGTGCTCGCCATCCCGTTTGCCATCACCATCAGCACTGGGTTCTGTGCCGCCTGCCACGGCTGCCTCTTCATCGCCTGCTTCGTCCTGGTCCTCACGCAGAGCTCCATCTTCAGCCTCCTGGCCATTGCCATTGACCGCTACATCGCCATCCGCATCCCGCTCCGGTGAGCAGGGTCAGGGTTACATCTGTGCAAAGGCTGTCGGTGCCCAGGCTTTGGTCTGTGCCCGGGGCCAGGGTGAGCCTGGGGTCAGGGCCTGGGCTGCATTGTCAGCGTGGGGAGCTGGGGATGGGGCCCTGGGCTCAGCAGGGGATGCCCAGGACCAGTATGTGGCCAGCAGTCATGCCGAACCGACTGATCCCTGTGGGCTCAGGGTGGCCTGGTTCTCCCTGGGTTTCCCCAGGCTGCCTGAGACCAGCCGTGCTCTGGCTGTGGGCAGATGAGCGTGTCCAGGGTCTGGCATTAGGCTTAGTGGGGAGCTCTGGTCCCAGTGACCCACGTGCTGCCGGTGGGTGTGTCTGGCCCATTCCTCACACATGAGCAAAACTCCCCACATGATGCTGGGGCAAGCAGGGAACCAGGGGAAACCACAGGACCTCACTGCTAGGAGCCGCCCGCCACCTGCCTTCCCCCAGCTCCTCTGGGCCAGCCTCCCAGCATGCACATTAGGAAAATGACCCAGAGAGGGGAAGTGACTTGGCTGAATGCCACAGTGAGTCACTTGGACCTATATGCAAATTCTGTTGCTCCTTAGGTCACCAAGGACTCGTGGTCTTGGAGACAGCCTGGGTGCTCAGGGGCTAGCTGTTGGAGGGGGGTTTTTATGGTGAATCTTTTGTGAAGTGACTTCAGCCAAGTATTGTGTAAATGAAGATTTTCCCGGAGGCTGAGTTTACTTGGCTTGGCTTCCACCTACCCAGGCCATAGATGAGGCTAAAGAGTGCATCCCTCCCTTGGGGACCTTGGAGGTCTTCTGCCCCACCTCCTGGCCCCTTCTCCACAGAGCTGCGTTCCACAGCCTGAGTGGTTGTGAGCCGTGAGGCCACGCATGAGGCTTGAGGTGGTCAGGGAGCAGGGGACACCACTCCTGCAGTGAATTATCTGAGACTGGTGTGGGTGCCTCCCTAAAGAGGAAGCCACAGCAGCCCCACTCGGGCTGAGGGTGCCCCAGCAGGAAGGGGGACCCAGCTGAGTGAGCAAATAGAAATTCAGAGTGTCAAACCCAAGGGGGCCTTAGAGGTCATTTCCTCTCATCTTCTGGATGGAAAATGAGCCTCAGAGAAGAGAGTCAGCTGTCTCCGGGCCACACAACGAGTTGGTAGTAGAGCTGGGGCTCGGCCTGGAAAAGAATGTTGTGGCCCGATACCCACTGGCCTTCAGTCACTGGGGAGAGTCATGGGCAGCCTGTCTCCCAGATCCCGCACCAGGCAGCCGTCAGTCACCTGGGCTCTAAGTGGGAGCAGGAGCCACGTTCAGCCACGTTCTCCTCCAGGGAAGGGGAGGATTCTGGCCCTCACACTGCCCTGTCAGATGCTCTGCACCCCAGGAGAGGCAAGAACCCTTGGCAAAGGAGAAGGGGACCCTGGCCAGCTCTAACAGGGGCAGAATTAGAGGTTGTCTGACTCCCAAGTGCAGTCTCAGGGGAGCCTCCACCCCTTGTGCTGCAATGGGCAGAGCAGAGTTCAGGTTCGTCCAGTGACAGCTCAGAACACGGAGGCCCAGGAGGGGGCCTGTCTGCAGGTGCCCAGAGGGGCCAGAGAACAGAGGACTGGAGCCCACTCAGGAAACTGAGCTGAGCCTACACACTGATGGGAATGCTCCATGAGGAAGCAGAGGCTGAGCTCTCACTTTTTTCTCCGATTCAAAGGGCAACAACCTTCTAGGGAGTGATCAGGGCTGCTATTTTCAATTTAAAGGAGCTTGACTTTTTTTCCCTTTTGTCTCTCCCTTTGCTTCTCTGAGAGTTGAGTGACTCCCGATGTAGTAGGACAGGATGGGCTGCATGGTTGTGGAAAATCAGCTACCTCCCTCTGGGCCCATTTCCTCATCCATAGGATAAGTGTCTGCCCCTCTGAGCTCACAAAGGGGTTCTGAAGGTCCAATGAATGGATGGGGTGACAGGGACCCTGAGGAGGGTTGGTGGGGTGGGGAGAGCGGGATTCAGATCATTGTGTTCAGAGCCATGGACCTGCCCCTTGCCCTCTACCCATCTCATCCCAACTCTCTTGGACCTGGGCCTCAGTTCCATCCAGACCTTGAGCCATTTGACTCTGCTCCATGAGGCTCTGCAAGGCTCAGGCTGGTTTCTTCTGTAGGGAGCCCCTGGAGATGATGACGACAGTGATGTTCATCCTCCCTCGTGGGCAGAGAGCTTTACGGTTGCCAAAGGATGTCAGCTCGGCCTCTCCTTTCATCCTCTTAGCCTGCATTGTGGCCAGGGCGGATGTTCTGACCCTCCTGTTACTCATGAACTCATGGGGAGGCCAGAGGAGGGAGGACATATGAGTGTCTCCTGATGTGGATGGACTCCTGGCCCTTCAAGCTATTCCTGGCCTGCAGGTCCCTTCACTTTCCTGTTCGTCAAGGCCCCTGGGGCGCTGGGCATGTGGAGGTGTCCATGTGGGCTCCCAAGAGCAATTGGGGCGTGAGGGGAATTTGGAGGCACTCCTGGCTGGCACTGGAGTCGCAGCCTGGCTTGGCATCCTCCCTCCTCCTTTCTCTGCTGGGAATCCAGCCTCCTCTACATGCCGTTTCCTGCTCCACAAGCCTGCCCCAATCTCCATTAACTTTTTTTTTTTTTTTTTAAAAAGAATTTAGTTTTGGAAAAATCTATTCTTTTCCAAGTACATGGAACCTGTTGTGAACTCTGTGAGAGTTCACAGGGCATAGTCAAGGAACTCTGTGAGACAGACGCCACAAGAGGGGCAGAGATGTAGCTCTCTCTGTCCCCAGAGGATAGAAATTCAGGGCGAGAGACACAGACATCTTTTCCCAGTTCCCAGGGGACTTTTGTGTCACCGTCCCCTGCCTCTCATAGCAGCCCCTGGCAGATGCTCTCACTGGTTGAGGAACACGCCAAGGTGCAGTTGGTGCTGAGGCCTGAAGTCCTAGGACTTCTGAGAGAGCAGGATTGGGAGAGAGGGCTCCCTGGAGGAGGCGCCACCCAGTCGGTCTCACAAGATGGGTAGGCAGGGTGTCACTGGCATGAGTGTGGTGGCAGGTGTGTCAGGAGCTGGGGGCTAAGCCTGGGACAAGGCCCTAAGGAAGGAATGAACATGTAAGCACTGGGCCAGGGAAGGGTGGCCTGGCTGCTGAGTGACAATGAACAGAGTGGGCAGGAAAGGTGGAGGCCAAGTTGGGCCTGTTCACACCAGGGGAAGGAATGTAGATTTCCCCGATATGTCCATGGCTCTTCAGTTCTTGGATCAATGACTCCTTTGGACAACTTAGGAAAGCCCCACCTCCTCAGGGTGGTGCACATGCACATGAAGCCCCAGCCGGAATCATGGGGCATATTCTTGGACCATAGGGTGAGCCCCCAGTGTAAGTAATGGAGATCCCCAGAAAGGGGCAGTTTGCAAGCCTGGGGAAACGGCTGCAGACAGCACCCCCAGAATGGGTGGGCAGCTCTGGGACCCACATTCTCTGACATATCTGGGCACCCTGGAGTAGCAGCGTGTCATGCTAGACAGCGCTGGCATCCCTTACAGCTGGATGGTCAACGTTTGGGGTCTAGGAGGGCAGGAGGTGAGTGTGTGAGTCACAGATGCAGCCCAGGGTACGCTGCTGCGCCTGGCCGAGGCTCAGCCATGATTCCATCCAGGCTGATGCTGTCCCCGCCCCCCTGGGCACCAGGTCCAGAGCTCTAGCCTATGGGGCTTTCTTTTGATTACGCTTAGTCTATTTGTGTTTTTTTAAAAAAATGAGTAATAGTTGCCCACGCTAAAACATTAAAAAGGAACAAAAGAGTACAGTATAGTAGAAAGTTGTCCTCCACACCCCCAGTCCCCCACCCCCAGTTCCCTCCCTGCAAAGCCATGTTAAGAATCCTTCCAGAGATATTCTTTGCATATATAGGCAAGTGCTATTAATGCATGTTTTGTTTCTGTCCCCACACGGGGCTTTCTTTGCAAAGTGCAGTGAAGACTCCCCTTGTGGGTTCCCTCTTCTGTACAAGTAAACAATTGGACAGACTGGGATTTCCATACTGTGTTCCCAGAAGCCTTCAGGTTGGCTCTGCTGGCCCCACCAGTTCACTGATTCAATAAACATTTAATAAGCCCCTTCCCTTCCCCAGCAGCTTCACCTCTGTGACTGCCTGGGAATGTGGGCGACAAGGTTTGCTGCCGAGAACAGTCTGAAAACCAGCAAAGCAGGTGGCCCCAGGGCCCAGGCAGCTCTGCAACACCCCTGTGGCTGCTTGGCTCTGCTCCACTGCCTCAAACGACAGGAAACTCACTAGTGCCTGAGGCAGCCCATCTCTCCTGTGAATCACTCAGCTGAAAAACTCTCACCCATCCTGAGCTACCATCGGCTTCCTTGTAATTTCCACCCAATGATTCTCCATTCTGCCCTTAGGGGGCAGTGCTGACAGGTCCAGGACTTGGCCCCATTTTACAAATGAAGAAACTGAGGCTCAGAGACACGAAGTTTTAGAACATTCCTGTTTACCGGGCCAGAAACCAGGGGGGGATATGCTTTTCTCAGGAGTGATGTCAAATTCATACAGCTTCCCAGTCAATGGGGACTATATAAATTACTATTTGCAAAGCACTAAGACAGTGCCTGGCACAGAGTCAGTGCTATGTAAGCATCAGACGTGAGAATGAGAAGCCTGAGATTTCATGTTTGTGAGTCTGACAGGAGGCAGGGCAGTGCCAGCTCCCTGTTGCTTGGCAGCCATGGGCAAATCTATGACCCTCCTCCTGTGGAGGGCCTGTTGCAGGTGACCAAGCCCCCACAGAATGGAGCTGAGGAGCTGCTGAGCATGGGCTTGCCCACTGACTGTTTGGATTCAAAATTGGCCCAAGAGATTCAGAACAGATAGACTCGCCTTGGCCTGAGTTACCTCTGGGCTCTTGGGATGTCCACAGCAAGTCCATTCCTCTCCGCAGGCCTCAGTTTACCCACCTGTAAAGTGAGAGGACTGGGCCACATAAGAGATCAGAAGCCACAGGGCTTCTCTTTTTCTCTTTAATTTGAATTAGTTGACAGAATTTAAATCTTCGGAGATTCTACCCAGAAAACCATCTCCCCAGCCCCACCTGAGATCTGGTAACAGTGGGTGCACATTTTACCTGACAGTGAAGACCAGCCCCACTGGCTGCCTCCTGGGTGAGCTACGTGGAGGCACCTGTTTGCTACTCGTGGATGAGGTGGTTTCTGTGGATGTTCCCAACCCCGGAGTTAAGTAGAGCACAATTTTCCTTGCACCTACTGAGTGTCCCTGTCTCAGAGCTGACAACGCAGAGATGGATGTGGGAAAGCCCTGCCCCTGAGGGGCCCCGATGTGGTGGGGATCTGCTGTACTTCGGTAGGAAACTTCTCTGAGCTCTCTATCCCAGACTTGAAGGATGGGTAGGGTTTCTGCCAGGTAGAGGGGAGTGTAATCTGGTCTTGCCAGAATCAAAACTGTTCAACACAAGTCATCCCTCAGTGATCATCATGGTTGCCTTCCTAAATTAGGGAGACTTTTTAAAAATTGTCCATTCTTTCATGAAATCTATGCCACCTTTCCTGCAGGGCTGAGGTCTGCTTCCTGGATGGCAGATCCAGCCATTTCCCAAGTATGGGAGTGGGAATGGGTAGGCTTGGATTTCTGTCTGGCTCTCACTTAGGAAGACAGTGATTTCAGGCAGATTGCTGTCCCCCTGGACTTCAGAATTTCCTTACAAATGTTAAGATGGCCATGTAAATGTTAACATGTAATCCTCTCATTTATCTCCAGAGGGCTGTGGGTGGGTTTGGAGGGGGGAAATGGCATCTCCTTTGGCCTGGGACCTCCTCCCCTCTTTTGCCCACCATGCTGCCTCTCCCCAAGGGCTTCTGGAGACCCCAAGTCAAATGGGGAAGAGAAGACAGGGATATGGAGTACAAGAGGCCTAGATCCTCTACAGGTCAGATCTGGCCGCTGCTGCCCACAGCCAGTGAGGATACCCTCCAGATCCTTCCCACTCTCTAAAGGGTAACGTGTCATAGCCTTAACCAAGATCAACCATGACACATTTGCCTTTAGAGAAAAATCATGTTTTCCCCCTCAAAAAATCATGTGTTAATTTCCTCCAACCAAACTAAGTCCCAGGACTACAGAGACTACTTAATGACCATCTGGACGTTTGTACATGGGTTTACATTTCTGGGGTGACTGCTCTCCTGTTACCTCCCAGCAGCCCATGAGAAAGCAAGGCATACACCTTCCACTTAATGGAAGAGGATGCTGAGGCGAGGCAGCAGGAATGACTGGTCCAAGACCTTCTAGCCAGTAAATAGGGAAGAGGTTGCTGCTCTGGGGTCCTGAACTCTTGGCCCTGCTTAACCCTGGCTTCTCAGATCTCTGACGCTGGTGTCTTCTCCCCAGGTACAATGGCTTGGTGACTGGCACAAGGGCTAAGGGCATCATTGCCATCTGCTGGGTGCTGTCATTTGCCATCGGCCTGACTCCCATGCTGGGTTGGAACAACTGCGGTCAGCCTAAGGAGGGCAGAAACCACTCACAGGGCTGCGGGGAGGGCCAGGTGGCCTGTCTCTTTGAGGACGTGGTCCCCATGAACTACATGGTGTACTTCAACTTCTTTGCCTGTGTGCTGGGGCCCCTGCTGCTCATGCTGGGTGTCTACCTGCGGATCTTCCTGGCAGCGCGACGACAGCTGAAGCAGATGGAGAGCCAGCCTCTGCCGGGGGAGCGTGCACGGTCCACACTGCAGAAGGAGGTCCACGCTGCCAAATCGCTGGCCATCATTGTGGGGCTCTTTGCCCTCTGCTGGCTGCCCCTGCACATCATCAACTGCTTCACCTTCTTCTGCCCCGACTGCAACCACGCCCCTCTCTGGCTCATGTACCTGGCCATCGTCCTCTCCCACACCAATTCCGTTGTGAATCCGTTCATCTACGCCTACCGTATCCGCGAGTTCCGCCAGACCTTCCGCAAGATCATTCGCAGCCACGTCCTGGGGCAGCAAGAACCCTTCAAGGCAGCAGCTGGCACCAGTGCCCGGGCCCTAGCAGCTCATGGCAGTGATGGAGAGCAGGTCAGCCTCCGTCTCAACGGCCACCCCCCAGGAGTGTGGGCCAACGGCAGTGCTCCCCACCCGGAGCGGAGGCCCAATGGCTACGCCCTGGGGCTGGTGAGTGGAGGGAGTGCCCGAGAGTCCCAGGGAGACACGGGCCTCTCAGACGTGGAGCTCCTTAGCCATGAGCTCAAGGGAGTGTGCCCAGAGTCCCCTGGCACAGAGGACCCCCTGGCCCAGGATGGAGCAGGAGTGTCCTGATGATCCATGGAGTTTGCCCCTTCCTAAGGGAAGGAAATCTTTATCTTTCTGGTTGGCTTGACCAGTCATGTTGGGAGAAGAGAGTGCCAGGGGCCCCTGAGGGCAGCTGGTTCCTGCTTTGGACTGAGAGGAGGGAGCCCCAGGCTGGAGCAGCATGAGGCCCAGCAAGGAGGGCTTGGGGTCGCAGGAAGCAGACGTTTCATGCTGTGAAGCCCTGGACCAGGTGGGGGCCACAGCACCAGCAGCATCTTCGCTGGCCAGGGCCCAGCCCTCCACTGCAGAAGCATCTGTAAGTGCCACCTTGTCTCCACAGAGCAGGTTGGGCACAGCAGACTGGCCTGGCCCTGAGGCTGGGGAGTGGCTCCAACAGCCGCCTGACACCCACCCACCACTCTCCCTAGACTCTCAAAGGGTTCAGGAGCTGCTGGGCCCAGAGGTGACATTCGACTCTTTTTTCCAGGAAAAATCTAAATGTGAGGAAACCCTTTTAATTTTATTACCCTTTCCTCCCTGGCTGCTGGGTCTGTCGGTCCTGCTGCTAACCTGGCACCAGGGCCTCTGCCTGGGGAGTCAGGCAGTCCTCTCCTGCTGTCATGAGCTGCCATCCACTTCTCACTCCCAGGGCCATCTCTCGGAGTGACAATGCTGGGATCACGGACAGGGAGTTACAACAGAGCAGTGCCAGAGCATGGGCTCAGGCCCCAGGGGAGAGGTCGGGGCTGGCAGGCCACTGGCATGTGCCTAAGCAGCGCGGAGCTGCCCGGCGAGAGGCCTTGTCTAACTGCCTTTTCTTCTAAAGGGAACGTTTTTTTCTGAGATAAAATAAAAATGAGCCACATCGTGTTTTAAGCTTGTCCAATGAGAATGGTGTCTGAGTTCATTTCCTACTCCATAGCCAGACCTGTGCACACAGAGGCATGTGTTGTGTATGTGTGAGACAGTGTGTGTGTGTATGTGCAGACACCTGCCTGCCCCAAGGGGCCTCCCCAGGCTCCTGTCCTAGAGGGGACAGGTGGCCTGGCTGCACTACAATCCCACCTGCGTTTCTCTGAGGGCCCGCGGCTGTGGAGAAGGGGCTTTCCCCAGAAACTCCCTCCCTCATTAACTCTCCTAATGTCTTCATATGTCACCTCTGAACTGTGACCCACCACCCCTGCCCTGCTCCACCCCCCAGCAGAGGCCACAGAAGTATCTGGAAACAGATCTGGGCAGGGGCTGTACTTCCTTCCCCTAGAATCCCCCTCCTACTATTCCCAACAGAAGAAACTAGGAGGAACGGGTGTTTTTGCTCTGACCCCGGCCTCAGGGGCCTCCTGCCTGAGGAGGTGGTGCCATCTTTCTGTAATGAAGTCTGAGACCCAGAAGGCAGTTAGCACCTGCCCCTGCCTGAGGTTGGCAGGGAGCTGATTGTCCCAGTTTGGTCTCACTCACTCTGGGACACCCAAGAAGGAGTGTGAGAACTTCAAGGGTGATCCTCACACAGCCCTGGGAGCCCTGTTTTACAGATGATGAACAAGCCCAGAGAGGTTACATGCTTGCTCCAGGTCACGCAGCTAGTAAGTGGCGGAAGTGAACTTAAAACCCAGGTCTGTCTGACTGCAAAATCCCTGTACTTTTTTTCCCATTAACTTATGAACTATTTGAACCAAACCAAAAAGCATAAAACATCATGTTCCCGCTGCTCTACTTAAGAAATGAAACATTATAACTACAGATGATGCGTCTGGCCCCTGCCCATCATCACCCTGACTCCTAGGCCTGGAAACAGACACTTCCCTGAATTTAATTTCTTTCCATTGCACTTTTATTTTTCTTGAGACAGAATCTCGCACTGTCACCCAGGCTGGAGTGCAATGGCGTGATCTCGGCTCACCGCAACCTCCGCCTCCCGGGTTCAAGTGATTCTCCTGCCTCAGCCTCCCAAGTAGCTGGGACTGCCTGGCTAATTTTTTGTGTTTTTAGTAGATACCAGGTTTCACCATATTGGCTAGGCTGGTCTCGAACTCTTGACCTCATGATCTGCCCGTCTCAGCCCCCCAAAGTGCTAGGATTACAGGCATGAGTCACAGCAGCCAGCCATTTCCATTGCACTTCTTTACATTTTTAGCATATGGATGCCTGCAAAACTCTCCCAAAACCAATACAGGATTGTGTTAGCTATCTCACTGTTATTTCAGAGGTCCTCTACACTGGCTGCACAGGAGAAATACCTAGGAAGCTTTGATCAGCACCAAAGCCTGAGCCCTTTGCCCCAGAGACACTGCATTAATTGGCCAGGGCAGATCAAGTAATTCCCCAGGGGGTTCTTATGGACAGCCAGGACAACCTATAAGAAGCCACTGATACAAATGCACGGAGTCCACCCCATTCACATGAGCTTCCTCCCTCCTAGGCTCTGCACTGTCTGTGGGCTGAGTATGGAACAGTGGCCAGGTATGCCTGAGGAGACCAAGGGCACAGAAGGTGCTAGTCCTTATGAGCAATTGGTAGGAAGAGGCCTGAAAGAGAACAACAAAGGCATGGAAGAATGAAACCTCATCTCTCCAGCCTTTTCTGAGACCTTGGGAACCAGGCTTTGAGTGCTGAGCTGGAGGTATATAGGCTTTGGGGATGACAGGACAGGGGCAGGAGCTCAGGAAAGGCTTCTAGGTACAAATGGGCCCTGGTCCTCCCAGGGCCAGCTCCTGCCCAGTGGTAGAGCCCAGGCCTCCTCATGTCCTCAGAAGCCTATGGTCCCACATCCATACCCACCCCATGTGGGTTCCCACCGTCAGCAGGCCTGAGTGTAAGCACATGTGCACAGACATGAACACGTGCATGCATCATTCCTCTGACCACACGTGTGCACATACAAGCATGCTGGTGTGCAGAGCCCACCTCAGCAGGAACAAGTGCCCACAGCATCAGCATGAGGGAGATGTGAAGACTGGTGAAGGGCATGAGCAACAGCGCAGTGCCAGGGATGCAGACAGTGCCCCCTGGTCCACACCCTGCAGCTCTGTCAAAGGGCCCTTCTCTACCCTCTCCCTGCTCTTCCTAAATGGCTGGGGGTGGATGGCATGCTTCATTCAGGCCTGTCCCGCATATGAGGGTCCCATCGCAGATCCATGTTCTTGATAGCCCCAGCCCCTCTCTACAGCAGGTGTGGCCAGGCCACAGAGAGGCTTGAGAGCAGGGGTCTGGCTTAGGCTGGGTCTTGGCTCGTCACTAGCCCTCACAAGAGACAAGCCCTCCAGAGAGCTCCCTTTCACCCTCCTCTAACCACCGCTCCTGAAACCCTACCTTAATCTGGCTGGATTAAGCCCCTATCCTCTGGGAGGCATCACACAGGGGCTCAGGGAGCTGGGTAGAGCCACAGTTCTGTGTGCTGAGCAGGGGACAGCAAACCACAGCAGGGCACGGAAGAGGGGTCACCTGGATAGTGACAGGAAATGAGCTGCTGATGCCCCTGCATCTTCTGGGACTCGGTATCCCAGAAATGGGAAACTGGCCTTTTGAACTGTGGTGGGGAGACAAGGACCCAGGGCAATCCAACTGCTCAGCACCGCTACCCCTGCTCCTGGGGCTGCAGGGAAGGCGGGTGAGGCCAGCACTTTGTGCCTAGGATGCCGCTCCCCTGTCCTGCGATGTTATGCCACTCCCCTGCATAGCTGCTGCTACGGGCTCTTGCCCCAGCTGGACACTGTCCCCTGAGCTCTGGTGCCGGACAAGTGTTTTCTGAGCATGCTGGGCAATGCCCCTCTACTGATGGGAGAAGCTGCTTTAGAGGGGACAGAACTTAGGAAGACCCAGGTGTGCTGTGAGGCAAGTGGCCCCCTCCCTGACCCTTACTGCTCTGTAAGATTCCCACCTTCTCCTCCTCCCCATACCAATCCCCCCACCAAAGGTACCCCTCATTGCTGCTGTCACTCATCATTAGCAGTCACTGTCATTGTTAGGACAGCCCCTGTCAGGCTGCAGAGCTGAGGGAGGGGGCAGAAGAATGTCAGATGACTCACACAACCTCAAAAGAGGGGGATGGACACACAGAACCTAGCTACAAGAAACACCTTGTGAGACTCTGGTTCAACCCTTTCTGTTTCCAGAGGAGAAAGAGCAGATCAGCAGAGCTTCCTGACAAGTCCCTCTGCTTCTCACTAGTCAGGCTTGGACAGGGGCAGGCCTAGGAGAGAGGCTAGGCCAGGGAGTCAGCATGAGGCTGGGCAGGTGACAAGGGTCCTCTGAGGGAGGTGGGGAAGGCTTTGCATGGAGCCATCCATGCTTCTTTGCCTCGTCCAAGGAAGTGTTTCTGTTTTGGGGAGGTGGGGAGTGACTCTGTCAAATCAGCCATCTGGACTGTCACCTAACGACAAGCTAAGCCCTCAGATTGTGCTGGTTAGACCTGAGCCCTATCTCCCGGCTCTCTGTTCCTCTCCCAACCACTTAATGAGCCCTTGCTGATGCACACTGAGCCGGGGGCAGGGTGCAGGGAGCCAACAACTGAGAATAAGCCCAATGGAAGGAATAAGCCTGTGAAAGACACACAAGCTCTCAGCGGAGGTGAAAGCCACACCCCAGTGGGGAGCCACGATGGGCTTCACAGAGGGGGCCACACCAAGCTGGCCTTTCAAAGGTCCCCCATCAGCTCCAGGGCCCCACCTCTCCAAGGTGTTGGTCAGGAAATAAGAACAAGGAGGGGCTGCGCAAATCTGCGCCTGATTTTCATCTGCCTACACTGAATTATGCCATCCATTTGGAGGCAATTTTCAAGTTAAAATGTTGTCAGAAGATTGTCACAGTTTTGATCTTTCTTTTCTGTTCTTTCTCAACCCACCCACATTTTCTAGTTAGGTTGGAAAAGGGAGTGAGGGGGATAGAGCCTGGTTTATATTCAGAGATTTCTGGAATTGTTAAAGATAGATGAGACTTTTAGAAATTATCAAGTTTTCTCTTCGGATAATTTAGTCCCAGTCCAATGTCACAATTGTTCTCTCAGTTCCAGAACTTTTAGGGGAACTGGAGGCATCTGGCCAGGCATCCTCCAGTTATCCCAGGGTGTCTCTTGAGGTTTCAGCTCGATTCTCTCTGTTGCCTAGTTCAGAGATGCCAAATAATTCCACCACTCGCTCCTTCCAACCACCACCCTGCTCCACCGACTGCTGAAAGCCCCAGTTTCAATCCCTGGCTTTGCCATTGACAAGTCACTGTCTGAGCTGCCACGCCTACTTTTAGATAAAATGAATTAATAAATGTGGGCCAGGCACCATGGCTCACACCTGTAATCCCAGCACTTTGGGAGGCCGAGGCAGGTAGATCACCTGAGGTCAGGAGTTCGAGAACAGCCTGGCCTACATGGTGAAACCCTGTCTCTACTAAAAATACCAAAAAAAAATTAGCCAGGCATGGTGGCAGGTGCCTGTAATCCCAGCTACTTGGGAGGCTGAGGCAGGAGAATCGCTTGAGCCCAGGAGGCGGAGGTTGCAGTGAGCAGAGATCGCACCACTGCACTCCAGCCTGGGCAACAGGAGCGAAACACCAACTCAAAAATAAATAAATAAATAAATAAATAGATGTGGCAGGGCTTTGGAAGGTATATGGAACACAAATGCCCAGGATCATGATGATCATTATTTTTATTTGTTTGAGATGGAGTCTTGCTCTGTCACTCAGGCTGGAGTAAGTGGCGCAATCTTGGCTCACTGCAACCTCCGCCTCCCAGGTTCAAGCAATTTTCCTGCCTCAGCCTCCCAAGTAGCTGGTACTACAGAGGCAGGCCACCATGCCCAGCTAATTTTTGTATTTTTAGTAGAGACGGGGTTTCACCATATTGGCCAGGTTGGTCTCAAACTCCTGAACTCATGATCCACCTCCCTCAGCCTCCCAATA